CTGCTGAATACTCTGCAGAATGCAGCGAAGTGATTCCATCAGGAACTTGCGCTTCTTTATCACAGGTTCAACTCTTTTTTATTTAGAATTGCTTTCCAGTCCACAGATCTTTTTGGAAGTACACACAGGATGGAATAATGCCCATGGAAATACTGTTCTATCTGGTGTCCCTTCCGGATGATGGAGAATACCCACTAGTCAGTCATAAACCCCATCCAGATGTGGGGAAACTGCTGGAATTGACCCCCAACCATGTAGGCAGGTGGTTGCTCTTGTGGTTCCTGTCCAGTTTGTTAGGAAGGAACTGTCTCTGCTGAAAGGAGCTTCTAAAACCCTTCCCTCCCTAAAGTGGATAAATCTGAATTAGACAGAGGGTTCACCTTCCAATGCTTTAGCCATAGTATCCTACTAGCCACTATATAGGTGGCCTGTGCTCTGGGAACAGACGGACCGCTCCCTGTAGGCTTGGAAGCCACCAAGTCTGTATGTGGCGGGCCACCCACTACAATCTCCTCATGGTTCCTCGGACCCAGGTAGAGTTCTGCCAGAATATTCCAGCAGTTGGGGGGCGGCTGTGGAATGACCTGAAGCCTCAGGTCTGCTAGCACTGATGGCAGCTTGTGCCACTGTAGATGTATCTGCTGTTGGCCAATCTCCAATGTCTAGAAGCTCAGGCAGGACAGTCTTCACTTGTTTCTTTTTTCTTTTTTAAGGCAGGCAATGGGGCCTTTCTTCAAGGCTTTTCTGTCTTCCATATCAATAAGGCAAGTGTCTCAAAGAAAGCAGAGCTAGGGTGCAGGGCTACTGAAACCAGAGGGTCAGCCTTGCTCTGAGCCAGTACAGGCCACACAAATTTGCATAGCCCTGCCTGGAGTGAGAGGAGGCATAACCTAACCAGTTTGGATGACTTCCCCCACTGAAGGAGCGCATGTTTTATTGATTTGTTATAATCCAAATGAAAAAAAAATCAAGTTCTCTATTCACGTGATTGGTTGTGCAGGTCAACAGAACTAGGATATAAGTGATATCATCACCAATCTTATAGGAAACTAGCAAATAATGTCAGTGATAAGAAAGCGACAGTGAAACTGAGGTGCCCCAGTGACAACTCTACAAGAATTAAATGGTTTACATTAGGGGTGTCAAACGTACAGCCTGCATGCCAGAACTGGCCCAAGAACAAGTGGGCTCGTTATGCCGTGGCTCTGTCAGGTGCAACTGACTCCCACTCCCCTCCTCTGTGCTTTGCCTTGCTACACCAGGTCCGTGTTTCTATTTTATTTTTGCTGAGCTCCTTCTGCCTTGGCTCTGCCTTCCCCCTCCTCCTCTGTGCTACAGTGGGTGGGTTTCTGTTTTTTTTTTCTGGGCTCATTTGTGTTTACTGAAATTGGGAGAAAGGGGCTGTGACTCAGCTGAAGAGCCTCTGCTTAGCATGCATAGAGTCCCAGTTTCTATCCCTGGCACCTCCAGTTAAAAGGACCAGGCTGTGGCTTATGAGAAAGTCTTCAACCTAAGACCCTGGAGAGCCACTGCCACTCTAAGTGAACCGGGGGGGGGGGGGGGCCCCCAACCCCCCCCTTTTTATTTCATGTTTTCCTCCGGGCCGGGGACCTAGGCTCAGAGCATTGACCATGAGAGCAGGCTGGGGAAAGGGTTTGCTCCCCAATCTGGCCAGCACAGGGGCATCAGCCCAGTGCTGCACTGCTGGCTCTCCAGTCTGCCTGTGTGGGTTTTCCTCTGCACCTGAGGCCTTGCGGTGAGTACATACCAACTTGATGCTTACCCAAGAAACTGGTAACATATCTTTAATTGTATTTGTCTGTGTCTTTTATATAGTTTATATCACCAATACCTAACATTACATTTTAAGACACAAATGGCCCGGCCCGACAATGTTCCATTTATGTCAGATCCGGCCCTCATAACAAATGAGTTTGACATCCCTGGTTTACATAGATGTGGGGACAAACATATGCACAGTTCTTTGCCTGCGCTAAAATCAGAACATCAACTATTTGAGTGCCTTGAATATAACATCTAAACCACACTTTTATGACTCAGAGTCATAATCAAAAATTGTTGCTATCAGGACACAGAATTAACATGTAGTACTTTATATTTATAGTAAACAAAATTAAAGTTAAAATAAACATACTAAATCAGATCAAGCTCTATTTAGGGAATCATCATTTTTCAATTCAAGTTTTTCCAAAAAACCCACATCACTGGAGGAACCAATGCTGTTCCTTCCTCTAACAAATCTGTTTTGGCCGTTGTGTGGTCTTGCTGTGGAATTGGTCTTTGAAGTACAGGAGGGCTCTTCTGATAGCCCTTAATTACAGAAAGATTAGTGACAGAAACGGTCATCTATTGCTGCCTCCAATGGGTGATAGGAAAGTTAAGTGCTCAGTTGTTAAAGGATACTTTGCTGCTTCAGAAGAGAACATATGGAAGAAGTTAATGGTGCAGCTGTTTCCAACACCAGTAAAACCCCTCCTGCAACTCAAGGAACAGTAGCACTTGTGCTCCCATGGATCCTACAGTTATAGGAACAATACAGGGAGAACTATACTGTAACACCTGTCCTACTCAGGTAAGGTCAAAACAAGTCCACTGCATGAGACATGTTGCCTCAAAGGCCTGTATGTCACATTAATTTGCTTATACATTTGGTTGCCAATTCACAAAGATTTTAACAAGAAAAAAGTTTTATAAATGAAAGAGAGCTCTTCTCATTATGCTAGAGAAAAAAATGCTTAATGAAAACATGGCCACTTTAAAGTCTTCATCACTCTTTGCCAATCTGTATTGCACCCTAAGACAAAGGAGGTAAAATTTTGCTTCATTCATTTAAAATTTAAGAACAATTCCTTGAAGCTTAATTTTATTGCACCCTGCCAGGACCTGGTATGTTTATTTTAAAATATTTTTAAGTGAACATGTTGGAGTATTAAGCAAAATCATATGATTCCCACATGACCTGGATTGTACTTTAAGGACACTGCTAAAGGATACTTTAAGGACATTTGCTAAAGTGGGTCTGTTCATGTCTTTTCTATTTTTACATGCTCAAAGTGCTGCCATTGGCCTATGTTGAATCATATGCGCCCTACACTAAGAGGGGGGGGGGAGGGGAAAGATAGCTATGTTTTGTACTTTACATCAACATCAGAAGTTTCTTCTGATTGTTCCTTCTGGCCACGAGGGGCCAGGTAATTGCAGAGCAGCCAAAGAAGAAAGCCAAGAAACTGTTATCCTGGCTAAACCCAAGAAGGCTCTGTGTTGCAGAAGTTACAGGACATTTAATGTATCTTGAATTGTAGATATTTCTGTACTTAGTTATTGTTGGTATCTGTCCAGATCCCATCAAAACAAATTCTTACATGTATATAAAAAATAGGGGGAAAAAATACCTTTTGGACACGTTCCTTTAGGCTCACTGTAGGAAAGGTCATCTTTGATGCTTTGACTGTGGTTTTAGTTTTTAACATGTAACTGGAAAACAGAATATTTACATTTTTAATACTATCTCATCAATTGTTATATGAATATATAAAAGGTAAGGATGTAAAAATACAAGCTTTTTAAAGCCGGTGAATTCACTAATTTATATTGTATATTTCAGATGACTACATGTGTTTCAGATTATTACGTTTAATTCCCTCATTTTTTTCTTCTTCCTTCAGCAATGGGAAATTCTAAATGTTCAAAGCAGCAGAGATTCTGTCTTCAAAGATTATTGTTGTTGATAAAGTAGTAATTCACTAACTTTTAAAATAAAACACAAATAATGCCCAAAAATAAATTACCACAAGGTTATACATTTAATGACATTTTATAACTCTAAAGGCTTAATTTCTACCCTTTTCCCTTTTGAAGAAATGGAGGTCTGTCCTTTCATATCCTTTCTCCATGCAGTCTAAAAGTGTATACAAAGATCACTTGTGCCACAGCCAACTTTAAGCTGATTTACACAGTATATATTTGTAGTCTCACTACTCAATGGGTTGTACCCCGTTCACCTAAGGGTATGTTTCACAGCTGCAAGGCCTGTCCCACCACTATAAAATGCTTCTCTGCCAGTGAGGTTCACCTTGCAGCTAAACAGAACAGTAGGACACAATCCCACTAACTTACTTCACAGCTAAGCATGTAAAGTGCTATCTCTAAGGAGATAGGAAAGCTCTGCTTTGTGTTTTGATGGCTGTTCAACACATGTATCATCACACATGTATTCACTATGTGAAAAGTGGCAAAGCCCCTAAAATGTTGGCCTTTGATTGGGGTTCAAGTCCTTTCTCAGCTATGAAGCTGACTAGGTGACGGTGGGCTGGTCACCCTCAGCCTACCTCCTTGGGTTGTCATGAGGATAAAATTAATGTGTGGAGCATACCACATATACCACCTAACTTTTGGGAAGCAAAAATATAGTACATAATGTAAAGAAACTCATGCAAGAAAATGTCTAGTGGCACCTTCCAGGGATTTATAATATCTGAAGGACCATCTTCTCCCATCCATCCATCTCCAGGAACTAAGATCACAGGGAGAGGCCCTCTTGGCTATCCCATCAACCAAAGCAGCTCACCTCATTGGGTACACAAGAAAGGACATTTTCAGTGGCAGCTCAGTGATTATGGAACAACCTCCCCAGAGAGGTGCACCTGGCCCCTCACTCTCAACCTTTAGGAGGCAGCTGAAGATGATTTCATTCATTCAATTTGATTTGTATCCCACCCTCCCTGCAAGCGGGCTCAGGGCAGATTCCATCATAAAATTCACAATACAACAAATCAACAGTTAAAATATATCTAAGAACAATATTCAATAAAAGATTGGTGCCTCAATAGATTTCAACAAGCAGTTTGTTCCCAGGTGGCCATTTTGACCCGAGGTCATTGGAGGAGAGGCCAATAGCAGGTGGGCGCCCACTGCCTCAACTGAAAGCCTAGCGGAAGAGCTCTGTCTTGCAGGCCCTGAGGACCTGTAGGTCCCACAGGGCCCTGTTTTCTAATGGGGGCTCATTCTACCAGGTAGGGGCCAGGACCAAAAAAGCCCTGGCCCTCACTAAGGCAAGTTGGATGTCCCTGGGGCCAGGAACCACCAGGAGGTATTGATTAATAGATCGTAAGTTCCTGTGGGGCTCATATGGGGAGAGGCAGTCCCAAAATGACAGCATTTGATTCGTTCTTCTGCCTACCAGCATTTTAACTTACTGATTTTACATTGGTGGTTTTTATGTATTTTATGTGTTTGAATGCTGTTCACGATGTAAGCTGCCTTTGAGTTCCCATAAGGTAGAAAAACAGCTAACAAATGTTTTAAATAAAATAAATAATATTCAATGTACTAGTTAACATTGATTTAATGTAGAACAAAATTTGAGTCCAGTAGCACTTTAAAGACCAGCAACATTTCCCAGGGTATAAACTTTCATGAGTCAAAGTTCACCTGGTCAGATACAAAAGAGAACGACCCTTGGCACGTACCGTGAGGGGTCCTTCTCCTCTGAGGAAAAGAGGACATCTGGAGTGATTCCCACCATCCTATCAGAGAGAGGCAGGAACTAATTTTCTTCCTCTCCCTGTGTGGTGTGGGAATGCCCCCTTCTCAGTTCAGGAGACTTCCAACAGCAGTCCTGAATGTAACTTACTCCTAAATTAATAGACAGAAGTTCAAAACATGAAGGTAAACTTCCAACAGAACATGGAAACAAGAACTCAGCAAGAAGCAACATAGAATAAGCATGGAAGAAGAGAATAGGATTGTGATAAAAGTCAGGAGAGCGATGTAAGTTGAGAGGGGCAAGATATCCTCCTTTCCTCAGAGGAGAACGACCCCTCACAGTAAATCCCAAGGGTTGTTATTCCTCTGAGGCGGAGGACATGTTGGGTACTCCCAAAGTAGTACCTTAAACCTTGGGTAGGACATCACTCTCCTCTTCTACTACATGTTGTAGGATTCTTCTTCTAAATGAGGCGTCTGCAGAATCGTAGACATTCAGCTTATAATGCCTCACAAAGGTAGAAATGGAGGACCAGGTTGCAGCTGTACAAACTTCCTCTACTGAAGTGTGTTTAGCCAATGCCATATTGGTGGATGCACTCCTCACTGAATGTGCTGTGATCCCCTAAGGAACTTCAAGGTTGAGAGACTTGTAAGCCCTCCACTATGCACGATTTAATTGCAAAGCTGATTGTGGATTTGGACATCTTGTTTTCCAGGTTCGGAGGAGATGTTTATGAACATTGACTCAGTCTTCCTAATGTTGGCGGTTTGAATCAGGTATGCTTTAAGAGACCTACGAACATCCAATGTATGCCAGACCTTCTCCCTTGGGTGCTTTGGATCTGGGCAAAAAGAAGGATAAGTATATCTCCTGAGTCCTGTGAAACCTGGAGGCTACCTTTGGTATAAAATACACACAATCCTGGGTTAGTGGAAATTTATTAATTTAATTTTATTTGCTTGGATTTATACCCTGCCCTCCCCGCCAAGGCAAACTCAGATTTCGAATATGCGTCTAGCCGAACTTACTGCGACCAGGAATATCATCTTCATGCACAACCATTTCAAAGGAATATCCTGAATAGGTTCAAATGGTGACTTCGTAAGCACTCACAGGACTCTATGAAGCACTGACAGGACTCTATGAAGCCGCCATGTGGGAACCTATGGATCCATGGAGTGTTGTGAAGCGTTGCCCTTCTCAAAAATCTACGCACATGTGGATGTGAAGATGTCCCTTTGAATGTGGAAGTACTGATGCTAGTGTTGCAACCTGTTTCCTGAGGGTCGCCGGTTTCAGACCAGATTTAAGACCATCATTCAGAAAGTCCAGGAATGATTGAACAGAAGGCTCCATGGCGTTAACTGATTTTCTTCTACACCACCTGTGAAAAGCCTTCCAGGAGGCATTATATATCCTGGTACTGGAGTCCTTTCTGGCAGCCAGGATCATATCAGTTATGTCTGAGGCAGGGCTGGCCTGTTATTAAATTTTAGACTGTCGCCTAGGGCGACGGCACCATTCTGGCCGGCCTCGTCCCCTCCTCACCCCGCACAGGAAGCCTCCCTTGCCAGCTTCTTGCTCTGTCCCCGGCAAGAGACTCCCCTCTTTGCAGCCCTCCAGATAGAAAAAGGAGGAGGAGGAGGAGGGGGGACAGGCACGGGGGACAGCCCAAGAGGACAGGAAAGTGCCGCTCGCCCTCTGCTGCCCCGCCCCCTCTTTGGAGCTCCTTTTGCAGCCTGGCAGTCACAGGCCCCCTCCCCTACAGCGATCCTGCCCCCTGCATGCATTTGCAGCTTGCCCCCTCGGCCCGCCCTCTGCGGCTTCGGCGCCCGCCCCACCCCACATGGGGTAGGGTGCCAGAATATATCCTTGCCTAGTGGGTGAAAAAACCTGGGGCCGTCACTGGTCTGAGGAAAGAGAGTTGTTCAAGTTCCACACGGTCAGAAGTAGACGTCCTGGATGTGGGTGCCATACCGGACCTTGGGTGATCATGTTTGGAGAAAAGGGTAGGTGAAGAGGCGGTAATGCAGACATCTGGTGCAGAGTTGAAAACCACGGTTGACAAGGCCACCACGGGGCCACCACCAGGACTGTTGCCTTTTGTTGTTTTATCTTCCGTAGTAACTTCAGTAAGATCAGAATCGGAGGGAAGGCATACAGTAGGCCCCATGGCCAAGGAGTGGTTAGGGTATCTGTTGCTTCTGCTCTGCGGTGAGAAAAAAATCTGGTGTAGAACCTGGGTAGCTGGTGGTTCCAATGAGATGCAAGGACAAAAAAGGGAAGGGGAAAAAACCTGAACCTAAAACTTAGAATCCAGAACCTGACAAAGGTTAGTCAAATGGAAGAAAGGGGGCAAATATTAAAAACTTAATGAAGGAAATATATAAAAAATACATGTATTTATTAATCACAAATTTAAAAATTATATAAGGGCCCAATCACATGTTATGTATAAATAACAAACAATAAAACACAAGGGCTTATAAATCTGACCTGACGCGTTTTGGCCTACATAGGCCTTCCTTAGATGTCAATAGTGAGGAACATATTGGCTATTATAAAAATATAGTACAATCATGTAAATACAAGGTATAGATTCAATAAGGACCAGAAGCAAGTTGTTTCAAGATAAAACCACCAGGGACAGAGTAAAAAGTACAAATGAGGCCTCTAAAAGTGCAATCACATGCCAAGTGGTTCTCAGATATAAACTTCTGGTCCAGGAATCACCTTCCTATGGTGGTAGAGCCAAATTGTCCTCAAGCAAAAAGCTGCTTTCACTTTGGAGCTGGACCAGATTAAAAGGTCGTCAAGGTATGGGTGAACATGTATGCCCTTCTTTCTCAGGTGTGCTATTGGATTGACTAGCACCTTGGTGAACTCCCTCGGGGTGGTCACCAACCCAAAAGGCAGGGCTCTGAATTGCATGTGAGAATTCCCTACGCAAAATCTCAGAAAATCCCTGTGTAGGGGTAGGATTGGGACATGTAGATGTGCTTCTGTGAGATCCAGAGAGGCAAGATATTCTCCTGGTTGTATGGAACATCCTTTTGAAACTATTTCTAATGTCCAAGAGTCTGCTTGGGAATCTATCCATGCTGCTTGGAAATGAAGCAACCGACCCCCCCACAGACACCGGAATCCCCTCTGAGTCATGCTTTGGTGGTCTTGTTGTCCCGGTCCTGCTTGTCATTTCTGTTGGATGACTGCCGCCCAAAGAGGGATCCGGTGAAGTTCTTCCTATAGGTTTGCTTGGAGTATCCCCAGGAAGATCTTTGCTGGTCCTGTTTGGGTCTGTAAGTTGAGCTTGAGGAGCAAAAGGACTGACTGCCAGATCCTCTTATGTCTGGGCAACATAAGTTCCTAGGCATCGTCTTCTTTTCGTCTCTTGTCTCTACTAGTATGCTATCCAGATGGTCTCCAAACAACTTTTCCCCTTGGAAAGAGTAGGCTAGTACAAAGGATTTCGACTGTAGATCTGCTGACCAGGCACGCAGCCAGATTCCTCTCCTTGCAACGACAGCTGAGGACATGGCGCATGATGAAAAGGTGAGGGCATCCAAGGATGCGTCTGTTTCAAATGATGAGGCTTTCAAAATTCTAGTCGCACCCTCCAAAAGTCTCCTGTTGTTTTCAGGGAGCAATTGAATCAGTTTTCGTGTGCAAACAATGATGGCTCTGGTTACCATTGAGGCTGTGGCAGAAGCTTTAATGGCCATTGCCGTGGCCTCATGTGCTCTCTTAAGTGCAGTGTCTATCTTCTTATCTAGGTTGTCTCGTACTGAGCCCTGACCATCCTCAGATAGAAGGTCATATGCTTGAAGTGTAGCCACAGGCGCGTCCACCAGGGGTACCTGTAACATCTCATTGGCAAAAAATGGTAAGTCATATAATTTTTTCACAAAGCTAGGGAACTGCCTGCTGGAAGTTGGTTTTGCCCATTCTGCCTTTAGTTGTCTTTCAAAAAACTCTGGGAAAAGAAAAACCCTCTCATAGTATATCTAAGAAAGAATTCTTCAGTCCCCTTGGACCTATTTCTGGGGTTGGTGCCTGGGCTAACCATCTCCTCCCACAATGGAACATCATGGAGTTCCAGGGCTGACAGAGTCTTAGCCAAGTATATACTGATAGTCCTCTGCCTTGAAAAAACGTGCAGACTGTTGTGGAACACTAATGTTCTCCACTTCTTCATCAGAGAGGAACTCCTCCTCCTCCCTTTTCCCCATATCAGGATCGGGGGACTGTCCCCTCTCTGAATCTGAATGTCTGTCCCTGGGAGGCTGTTTTCTGGCCACTTTAGTAGGCCACCTTCCCTCCCTATCCGTGGAGTGCTCTAGTGGCTCTGGTACAGGGAAGGTTGAACACGGAGTGAGGGTGCCCAAGTTCCCTAGGTGGCATAAGTTTACAAATTCTTCCCTCATTGCATGCCTCACTGACTCCATAAAGTTCTGTGGGAGGAGGCCCCTACTAGACAGAAGTACATTACGTGTCTGGAGACTCATGGTGCCACCTGTTGTTGATTGTCCCGAGAGGGGCAATCCTCTGTTGAAGTCTCCCGCCAGGAGATTGGTAACTGAACCCTAGCAATCCGATTGAGGGTTGTAGACATGCCCGGGAACGTTTCCCGCCAAAAGTTGTGAATCAAGATGGCCACCGCTACCAGCCGATGGGCAGGAGCAGGGTGTGGCAATGGCATCTCCAGAGTGATGGCACGTCTTCCTGTGCTGTTCTCTGCCTGAATCAGGCTCGCCAGTAGCTGAGGCAAGCTGATAGGCCATGCTGGCTCCAGGTTCCTCTCACTGCATCTCCATGTTGTCGGTGTCGTTCTCTGCTTCGGAGAAAAAGCCATCTGACTGTCTTCTGGGCATGCTGGCAAACGTGTGCTCTACGGCCATTTCCAAAGGCCAACTACAGCCACCGCGAAACTCCCCCTCAAGGAACGAGGAGGTGGGGGGGAGGTAAGAAAGACTGAAAGGAGTTTGTCAAAGGATGAGTAGAAAAAAGCAAGAATAAGAATAGGAGGAATAAAGAGTAGAGAAAGGTACTGAGCAGGGTAGATTAGAAACTCAGTAAAGTTTGGAGGCAAAGCCTACAAAGATCCTCTCCCTGTCGAGGCAAGAATAGAACTGAGAAGGGGACGTTCCCACACCACACAGGAAGAGAAAGAAGAGAAAGAAAACTGGTTCCTGCCTCTCATTGATAGGATGGTGGGAATCACCCAAGATGTCCTCCGCCTCAGAGGAAGAATGTAACTTAATCTGTCCTTATATCCAGCTCAAAATGTGGAAGCGTTGTTACAAAGAACGGCCAGTTGGAGTCAAAACGCAGAAATGTACAAAACAAAATGTAATCAGCTTGACTAGAGCAAGGAGATATGCAAACAAAACCAACAACAGAACACCACTGGTGGTCACATGCAGGTCACAGCTCAAACAAATTCAACACATCATTAATGGACATAAATCTGACAATAAATCATGATAATCCTCTTTTGTACCTAACAAAATGAACTCTGACTCACAAAAGCCTATATCCTAGAAAACTTTGCTGGTCTCTAACATGCTACTGAAGTCAAATTTTGTTCTGCTATTACAAACTAATACAGCTACCCACCTGAAATTAATTTACACTATCTTCTAAACCCATTGGAAATGCAGTGAGCAGTCAGCTTCACAACATGCTTCTACCATTGGAACACTCTACTCCTAGCTTTAAACTATTTTTAGTATAACTACAATATCATTGATACATAAGGACACCATCAGCCAGAGGAATAAGATTTGTGATCTTTCTAAAAGTTTCCCTTCCACTTTCATGTTCTTTTTTATAAAATATTTTTTTCTAGTAAATAAACATATACAGGGTGATTTGTAGAATTTTACTGAAGTTTATCATCATGATTTTTGTGTCTTGAACAATGCAGTCTTCATCTGTAAGGCACTAACCATACAACACTGTCCTTGAAAAGACAGAAGAAGCCTCGCAGATACGCCAAAGATGCTGAACACAACAGCTTGATACCTATGTTCAGATTGCATGATCGACAGTTCAACATGTTATAGGTGCTGGAAGAAAAAGATAGAGGATAATGTCACGTCAAAATCTCTTTGTTTTGCACAAATTCTCTTCAATAATTCGAAACACCATATGGGCTTCAATAGTAACATGTAATCCCTTAAAGGTAACAGTTCTGCTAGAGGATTTTTGAGACAGTAGACTGGATCCCAGGGGAAATTTCTGCTGATAGAAAAGGGAGTGGTTTTTTGCCACTCTCTCCCTCTTGCTGTAGACCTCCAACTCCTTCCTCATGCTTTTCTGTGTGTGTGGGGGGGCATTTGGGGCTGCAGTGGAAGGCAAGGAAGTCTCACAGTTAACTGATGGAAATCCTCTCATCCCCAGAAATTTTTGCTGAGATCACTAGCTACAATAATGGCATGAAGTTAAACTCTCCAAGAGATGCTGCGTTAATATAGCAATTAAACATTGTTTGTGTGGACTCATATTTGATAGATTTCACAAAAGATCTTGTTCAGTAGCAATGTAGGATCTAATAGTCATTAACTGTTTACTTTAACAGCTATTGTAACTTTACAGGTGAATTTATGAACCAGCATGCTGAGAGAAGAATCATTATTACTTCTAAAGGAACTATCACAATGACAGATCAACTGAAAGTCTATTAAATCTCTGTTCTTCGATGTATTCTTCTATTTCCTTCATGGCCAGTGAAGGAAGGTGGGAAGTGTCGAAGAAGAAAAAGAAAAAGAAGAAGAAAAAGAAGAAGGAGGAGGAGGAGGAGGAGGAGGAGATTGGATTTATACCCCGCCCTTCACTTGGGAGTCTCAAAGCGGTTTACAAACTCCTTTCCCTTCCCCTCCCCACAACAGACACCCTGTGAGCTAACCTCCCCCCAACAAATGCCTACCATCCCATGAAGTCGCCTTCAATGCAGACCATCACTGAATCTTCCACATTAACATCATTTGTAACCTCTGAAAGGACAAGGAAACCTGAAAGTTACAAGATTTTGTTTACTCATCCCTTTGTTAGTTTGCATTTATCTAGCACAGTAATACAGCCACACGTGGCTTCTCAACATTCATCTTGTGGCTCTTCAAGGCACTGTTCCTCAATATGGCATCTACCACATGTTTCAGGAAAGTGGGCAAGATCCTTGCCCAGTGGGGCTTATGGCTGACAGGTGATTCCCACCTTGAAACAGCCACTGCCAGAAGAACTGGTAAGATGCAAGCCTCAGGGACGGAAATGGGATTTTTCTTCCCTACAACTCTGTCTCTTACATCTAATTATTTCTATTCAAACACCATTACTGCACCATAATCACAGACGGAACAGCGTCGTAATCTTTCCATTCCAGTTGATCCTCTCAGCCCCCATCTTCAACAAAGGAAGATGATCAGATCAATGTGCAGCAACAGCTGCATTCATCTAATCAGTCTTCTGAAGATGCTACTCTGCAAATGGTAAAGATCAGCAGCTGCCCATAACTAAACATTCTCTTATAGCTCCCACTTTGTGGAATGGCTTGCCTGAGGATAATTAGAACACATTTCACAGAATGCAGAAAATATAATTGTTCATAAGGGCATTTTATAAAGGGAAAGTAGGAACCATGTTGGTATTGGATATTGTAACTCTGCATGCAAGGGGATCTGGGAGGGGAAGAAGAGATTGGATTTATACCCCACCCTTCACTCGAAGTCTCAGAGCAGTTTACAATCTCCTTTCCCTTCCCCTCCCCACAACAGACACCTTATGAGGTAGGTGGGGCTGAGAGACCTCTTTTGGGATCTGCTCCTAAGAGCTCTGAAACAACTTGTAATTGACCCAAGGTCACACCAGCAGCTGCATGCGGAGAAGTGGGGAATCAAACCCAGTTCTCCCAGATTAGTCAGCGCTCCTAACCACTACACCAAACTGGCTCTCTGGGTTCAACTAGTTAAGAGAATTCTCTCACTCAGGTACACTTGGCAGTTGGCCCCACTCTCTCAGATGCTGAACCTCTTTTGTGGTTGCTTGTTTTTTGTTTCATCTTATATAGAACCTCTCTTCTTCTCTTTCTTACCTGGGCTTGGAGCTGTAGCAAGTTAACTTTTTGAAGTTAATCTGTTCACAATAAATTAAATGTACCTACATGACTCTGTCATGTAAGATGTGCTTTTATTTTTGTAAGAAAAATTTATTTCTCTTGTTACCATTGGAGTCAGATCTTTGTAATTTGTTTGAACAGCATTCCCCCCTTAACTGGGAAACTTGGATGATTGGGGGTACAACATAAAACTTCTGTGCTTCCAAGTCAAATGATTTTTTAACATTTAACCCATTAGGTTATGAACCCAGAGTCTATCAGAAGCTTAGATTAAGTTCCTTTTCAATATCAAGCTTAAAGTATTTGGTTAGGAGATCCCCTTGTTGGTTGTTTTTTGATCTTTAAAAATTCTCCATTATTCTTCTCCATATTGCTGTGAAGGCTGAATCAAGCAGATATTTGGAGGTCCCCAAACTTGCTGCTGAGAACTAGAGAAGCTGCCTTAAAAGATTTCATATACTCTTTGAAGCAAAAGGAGCTGCTGGATTGCTAGAGGGAGAAAACCCAACAGAGAAAGGCAAGGAATTGGACTCTTGGATAACAAAAAATGGGATTGGCCAGGAACGTTATTATGGGATCATTGGATGACAGTGAGACTGTCTGAAAATTCCCAGACAGCAAAAGAAATGTTTAAGAGCCTAGAAGAATCTTTTGAGTTTACTAGTATTAAATCACAATGAATATGGATAAGAAAACATTGCAAAACAAGATTACATGACAGAGAAAATAGTGAAAAATATGTATCTGAGCTAGGGGAACTCATTAGCATAACTCATTAGCATATGCCACACCCCCTGACATCACCAGAAGTGTGTCATAAGGCCACACCCCCTGACATCACCGGAAGTGTGTCATAAGGCCACACACCCCACCCCCAATGGTCCCAGCCGCCGCCGCCGGCCTTGCAGCTCCACTGCTGAGCCCCATGAGGGGCCCGGCGGTGGACCTGCAAGGCCGGCAGGAGTGCAAGGAAGCCCTGCAAAGGCCCCCCCTGGCCTCAGGCAGGCAGGGGTGGGGAGAGGCAGGGGGGGAGCAACTTACCCCTCCTCTTCTCCTGCCTCCTCCTGGCTGAATGAGGGCCGGAAGCGGGGCGGCCGGAAGCAGGGGGCGGGGCTTTGTCATGTGCCCCGCCCTCGTACCTCACCCGGGGGAACTGCGATCCCCCGCGATCCCCCCCGAAATGACCTCTGATCTGAACTGAGGTTGGTGTTCGAAAATCTAGTAGTCTGTGGCTTTAATCTAACTGGATAAACAAAAGGCAAATTTTATGCTTGGGACTGTGGGGGGAGATTTTTCTGAGTTTGTGAACATGCAGGGTCAAAGCCAAAAGAAAGACACAAAACCTTGCAATCAGGCACTAAAAGAATTGCAGGAAGAATGCTCAAAATGGCTTATTGAAGTTGAATCACAAACGCTTCAAACGCTTGAAAGACCAAGTCCCACCCAGAGAAAGGGAGAAAAACTAATCACTGCATTGCTTTAATTGCAACAAAAGGGGCCACTTTGCAAAGGGCTGTGGAGAGCCACCAGCTAACAGTGGGTTTTTTAAAACGCACAGGAATAGCCCACAATGTAAACAGAGAGGCAGTTTTAAAAATCAAAAGCATGATGGTCCTAATGCAGCATACAAAGGAAACTGTTTTTGTAATGAACCAGAAAACCCTTATTTATGATGATGCTGAATCAGAATCAAAAGAGAGTAAGTGGCTAATACAGATAGTGGAGCATCTAGTCACAGCACACACTGCAAAGATTTCTTTGATGAATGTAATGAAAATGAGAAAGGAGACATAAAATTGCTAATGGTGAATGCATACAGATTCAAGGCATAGATACTGGCACTTTTATGGTGTAGCACACTTCACAAAAATTTCCTAAATTAAGTTGGCAATATCCTGTACAGACCTGAATCAAGCTGTAATTTATTGAGTGTGTCTGCATATGTTTTGGAAGTAAGAAAAGCAAATGCGTGTGTTATATAAGAGCAAAAGGAGTTAGACCTTCATTTCCACACAGAATCAAGAAACATACTAGCAAGCCATTAGAATTAATTCATAGTGATATCCTTTGACCAGTACATGTAACATCAAATGGCGGAAATAGGTATCTTTTAATCTTTCTGGATGATTTCTCAAGGTACTCAGCTGCTGAGGCAAAAGAGTGAAGCTCACAAATTCCTCAAGAGGTACGTCGTTATGGTTTCTAACAAGTTCAGAAGGAAGCCTCAAGTGCTACAAATGGATAACAGTGGTGAACTTATATCACATCACACACAAACCTTCCTGGCAGAGGAAAGTATCCTGCTCAGAAAGTCAGTGAGCTTTACACCTGAGCAGAATGGCATTGCTGAAAGGAAACTCAGAATTTTACTGGAAATGAGTATATGCATGCTCATGGATGCAGGCCTACCGAATAAATGGTGGGGTGAAGCAATCTTGACTGCAAACTATCTCCAGAACATAGATTCAGGTAGGTAAACATGTTGATTTGAACAGTGGCACTTTTAAGATCAACAGAGTTTAATTCTGGGTACAAGCCTTCTTGAGCATGTGCACAGATACATTGAAACACTTTCCCTCAAGCCTTACATATAGGTAGGGGAGTTAGTTGCCAGGAAGGGCTAGTTAGTCACGATGCAAAAATAACTGGGTATAGCTGAGATTGGATTAGAGCAGTTGGTAGACCTGTGAATGGCATAAAATTAGCATATAAATACAAGAGTTAACAAGCAGATGTGAGAACTAAGTTTGAGTCCAGTGGCACTTTTAAGATCAACAAAGTTTAATTCTGGGTGTAAGCGAGAACTGAGAGACTTAGAATGCACAGATGCACGCTTCCTCAAATACACTGAAACAGATTTCCTCAAGCCTTACATATAGTGTGTGTGTGTGTGTGTGTGGGTGTGTGTTTAGTTGCCAGGAAGGGCTAATTAGAGTCAAGATGCATAGAGTCAAGATGCTACAATTCCTCTTAACTGGGAAACATGGGAGGATCGGGGATACTGCGTAAAGCTTCTGTGCTTCCAAGTCAAATGATATATATATTTTTACATTTAACTCAATAGATGGAGACCCCTAGTTTCTCATTTTATAGCACTGTTTTCTAATTTCTGTAATATAGTTTTTGCATTTATTTTTCATATACTGTTTTTATTGCACTGCAAAGCTCAGTCAGTAGCCCAGAACAATGGTAGGGAGGGAGAGATCCATGCACATTTAGCACATGATGACACTAATACCAAACAATAACTTGATGTGCAAAGATTTTTCAGACTCCATATCACTTGCAATGTTGTGTCACACAGTCAGTTCACACATTTAGCTGTCAGTCACCAATAAACCATGATCAAATTATGTACATGCACATGCACATGAGAACCCAGTAAAGAAAGAAACAGCAAGTTGCCCTTCTGTATTCATACAAAAACACCTTCTACCCAGCTTAGAATAGTTTTTTCTGAAAGGCAGCAGCTCTCTGGAGAAACTTTTAAACTGAAAATGCAGGGACATTAGAGATTTTCTTCAGGCAAAGTCTACATTTCCATCAATATCAGAGTTCTTTTTATTTGGGGCTGCTGAAATGACAGAAGGCTCAAGTAGATACTAGAACTGGTCTTTTTGATTAATGGAATATTCAGAGGCCTGGAAGTGGGGGAAATATCCTGCAAGTGTCCCTACAAGGGAAGGGAGAAGGAAAACAAGGTTTTGTTTGTTTGGTGGAAACACAAAGAATACACACTCTGTTTACTGAGAGGTAGGAATAGTGCCTAGCTTCTTCACCCTGCAAGTGTTTCTTTGACACAGGTCTGCCAGACTCTGGTCCCCTCTGGTACTAGTGTAGAGAAGTGTCATTCTCATCTGTGAAATGATGGGAATATCAAAGTTGCATCTCTCCACTTCTCTTTTCTCCTCCTTCATTCTCTGTAGTTTACATGTCATAGCCACCCCTGATCTTTACAGCCACTTTGTGTTCCGTTTTGACCTGCATGGACTACAGTAGAGAAATTAAAGGTTGTCTCCACCCTGTCTGGTTTCCTGAAGGGAAACCCCCCCAAAACCTAGTAATCTTTAACAAAGCAAAATTATTGTGATATGTATTACTAAAAGAAATATTTTATCCTTGACAGCAAGTCTCATAAATAATTGTTGGGTTTTTTCCCTTTTTTTCTGGCAGTTCCTAAAAAAATGGATTTTTAAAAAAATCTCTGCAGTTGGTTCAGTGTTATTTTTGAGCTAATCAATTACCTTTCAACGTCACCGTTCCTCACCTATAAACCATTATCATTAATTATTTTTTAACCACACCTCGGCACAGCTCAGTTCTACACAACCACCTGGGAGGCAGACTAGGGAAGTTTATGCTTTTAAGGGCTTATCGGATTTAGCTTGCTCACTAGGATGTTTTAACGGCGGAATCTGCTTCGGTGAAATAATACACAGAAGCATAAGGCCACCATTATGTTCTGGGTCAACGGCACCACTAACTTCACCGGATATTTTGAAGACCTCTACAGGCTGGTGTAGAGCTGCAGAATAACAAGGCTCGTGTTCTCAGCACAGGAAACTCAATCAGCCTAATAAGAGACATCGTCTCTTGCGCTCTGTGCCGATCAAAGGTCTGGCCAACTCACTGAAACAAGCGATAATGCCAAGCTTCTCCTCCTGGGCGCAGAGATCAAGTGAGTCCCCCAGGACCGTATGGCATTGCTGACACTGGTACAGCATACATTCTTCTAGCCGGAGACGCCGATCTTTTAGGACGCTGCTGCTGGAGTCCTCTAGCACCTTTGTCCTCTCCTGTTCTTGGCGCCAGTTCCTCGTCTCGGGCCTCGATCGCTCCACCATGATTGCACCCCCGGTTCGGGATTCCTGAAAGAACTGCAGCAGCTGCCGACGCACCGCCATTTCGTATCCGCCAGAATTTCAAACCTAACTTCCCGCCTCTTGTCTCTTGGAGCGTTTCCTGAGCCTCTCTAATTGGAGGAACCCGAGGATCTTCCCTTTGATTGGCCAATCGTCCTCGTCGTAACACTACCCGAGCGAATCACATAATGAACCTCCAGTAGAAGGAATCGTTTTGTTTTCACCCAAACGGCGAGGCAGTGGACGTTTAAAAACGAACAGATTAATCCTGGGCTTCTACTGGTCGTGGCTCTCTTTCTCGCCTCAGCAGTGGTCGGGGCCCTAAGCCAATAGAGTAGCGCGAAAGGCGATTTTGAAAAAAAGAGGGCAGGACAAGTAGTGCGCGCGGGGGGGGTGAATTTGAAGTGCGGCGGTTGAGTGTCGTTTTATTTTTAGGCGGCGTTGTCAGGTTCAGCCATGGAGGTGACTTATCTGCAGCAGTTGGAAACGCTCAAATACAGCGAGCTCCAGCGCCTGGCTAAAGGCGCAGGATTGAAGGCGAACCTCAAGGTGCGCGGGAGGTGGGCAGAAGAGCGGGCTCTCCCCCCCCCGGCTTTTTGCTGGCCGAAGAAAACCCGGTCCGCTCTCTCTTTTGCCTTTAAGTGGCAGTTGCAAGTTGAAGCGCAGCAGTTTCCCCTTCGGATTTCTGCGGCTCGGACCGCAGTAGAATGAGGCGGATTGGAAAACTGGTACCCTAAAGGGGGGGGGGGGGGGGAAAAATGAAAAACTTGGGCCGCCCAGCATCCAGAGACACCTCAGGCTTTAGCTGTCCGGTCTCTCTCACTGCTTTTTAACGTCTCTTGAGCCCGTGCCTTTAACAGCTGCTGTTAAGCAAATGATGCTAACTAGAAAACAGCGATGGGGAAAGCTTCACCTGCTTACCTTCTTAATTTCTGGCTATCGCTGCACAACAAGCCCTGTAAACCAATGTAGCCGTCCTACCTTAATCTTGTCTTAGAGGCCAGGTACAAACCGATGGTTTTTACCTGGGTGATACGTGATAACTATTTGTTGTTGTTCAGTCGCACAGTCGAGTCCGACTCTTCGCGACCCCCCATGGACCAGATCCCGCCAGGCCCTCCTGTCTTCCGCCGTCCTCTGAAGTTGGCTCAATTTCATGTTCGTTGCATCGATGACACTGTCTAACCATCTCATCCTTTGCCGTCCTATTACTATTACTCCTTAACTATTACTCCTTGGTTAACTTCAGTGACAGAGTGGGGATTTGAATTTGGGTCTTCCAGATCCTAATCCAGTGGTGGCGAACCTTTTAGAGACCGAGTGCCCAAACTGCGACCCAAAACCCACTTATTTATCGCAAAGTGCCAACACTCCAATTTAACCTGAATACTGAATACTTTAGAAAAAACAACTCATACATTAACTTAAGATGATCCAAACAAAGTAAGGAAAGCAATCCCAAATGCTTTCATTTACTTAAAATTATTTGGCAGAGAATTTGACATTTTAATGATGGTCTGGGGCGATGGCACGAGTGCCCACAGAGAGGGCTCTGAGTGCCACCTCTGGCACCCGTGCCATAGGTTTGCCACCTAGTCAGATGCTAACCACTATATGACACTGCTGTTTTCATACTGATGGTTGCAGTTTTTATTGGTACTGTTTTATTGTATGCTGCCTTGAGTACCTTGTGGAGAGGTAGGATATAAAACATTTTAAATAAATAAATAAATAGCTAATTTAAAATTATGTTGCATTTGTGTGTCTAGATATACTTGAGATAGCATCTGTTTTTAATCAGTGTTACTCATAAAGAACAGAAAATACTTTTGTGTGAGGAAAAGGACTGTATGCAGCTAATTTTCCTGCAATGCATTTAAATGGCTACCATTTAATTTGTTATACTTCTTTTTCTCTATTACAGTGTTTCCCCAAACTTCTGATGTGAAACATATTGCCATTAAAGATATACTGTTTGTGTACTGTTCAAATAAGATGTCTAATAGTTTACATCCCATTTTTTCCCAAATCCATGGGATTCAAAGTAGACTATATCATTAAAACCAGATAAAATCTCTTTCACAAAAATACAGCACAAATAACAAGAGAGCAAGCTAGAAAGCAGACTGCATGCCTACTTTAATAAGCTATAAATTATTTGAGATCAGAATACCTGAAAGCTGGCTCTGCTTAATTTTTTTTTTAATGCTGGTAGTTGTTACGGTTCTTCACAGTTTTTTTCTGTGTGATATATTATATTGCAAAATATGATTTCCCTATTCTGAGCATTTTTGGAAGCACTGTCTCCCAAAAAAGAGATAGAAAAAACAAGTATTTCAAGATAAATTGATAATTGGAAGGGAGCAATTTTTCCTTTATCCACAATTTTGTATATTTACTATATGATTTGTCATGCTGTGCTGATTTTTGTGTTTTATGTGCTGAACATTATCTTCACAAATCCAAGTCTGTCTACTGCTCAAATAATGCTGTAACTATTTTATAGGCGGACAAGCTGTTAAAAGCACTGAAGCAGCACTTTTATGAAATCATACAAGAAAACAGAAATACAGTAAGTATAGAAATGTCTTGACTAAATTTCTTTGTTGAAAAGAAGGGGGGTTCTAAAATCCAAAAAATTCAGTGCTTTCCCTGGAGTGCAGTGCCACCAAAACACCGTTTACCTAAACAAGTACTGAAGTGACAAATTTTCTGACTTGCAATTTATGGATCTGTCAGTGGAAGGTGCTTATGATCACAGATCTTTCCTACATTTCCCTGCCCTCGGCAGTCATTTCCAACACAAAGAATGTTCATTTTTGAAGTCATGGGATTTGTGTGGACTAATAATAACCATACAGCTTTGGAGGTTGTATTGGGAAAAGGGGATCAAATGGTGCTGCCTCTTCCATCAGCACAGCTCCACTGAAAGAAGAGAGGGCAATTTCAGCCCCTCCTCACTGTTGCCTTCCTTTTTTTGGCTCCCCAAAGGGGATTTTTTATTGCTATTCTATAAACTACAAAGAAAATAGGGAAGGGATTCTAATGTCTACGGGAGAAAGAAAGTTAACCACTAAAAACCCAAGTAGTGAAGATCATTACATAAGTTTATAAATTGCTTAATCTAATCTATTATTAATACAATGAGCTTGAATGTTTAAATCTAGCCAATATTCCCCAAAACCTGATATCAATTACTCTTTAAGACAATCACAAAAGCATCAAACTTAAATGTAGCTTCTTAAAGGTGGAATTCAGAGTCCCTCCGCATCTCATTTCTTGGCATTTCTTTTCCTCAAATCATAATCTCTTTTGGGGGCTGCTGCACCCAACTCCGAATCAGAGTCATCCTTGGTAGTTGAAGAAAAGTTTTCACTGCTTTCTTTATCCTGGTCTTCATCTTTGTCGTCTTCTCCGGACCTTCCCAGTTGCTGCTTCAAGAACTCATTTGCTTTCTTAACGGAGTCAATTTTTTTCTTTTTAAAAATTTATTCTGAAGACTAGGCCTTCGGGAACCAACCATTTGTACTGTATGCTGTTGTTTGTAAAAACAATGCCAAGTCTTTGAATTTCTTCCTTAAGCTGCGATGGTTTCTCTTTCTCGCCTCTCCGCCCTGCCATTTTTGAGGATTGTTTACTTTTAGAAAAGTTTGCCAAAGTCTGTTTTCCACCAAAACGCTTTGCTGTGCTCTTGTGTGCGTCTTAAATCAGTTCTATGGGCTTTTACGGCCGGCGCCCTCTTTTTAAATTGATCTGCTTGGATATCGTGTCTGGGAGTTCCCTCCCCCGCTCGCTTAAATCAGAGGGGCTTTCTAGCTGAAACTCGGTGTTTTGCTTTTACCACGACTCACAGTTCATCATTGGTCCTAGGGACTCGCCTCAGGTATGTGTAAAACGCTCGATCTTCATGCACTTGTCCTGGTCAGCAACTCTAGAGCCATACGGTTGCACAGCAGCAGGACCTTCAGGGCAGCGGGAAGCCTCGATTCCCTGGCATCGAGCCGGAAAAGAGGCAATCCTTCAAAAGCCCCATGGCTAGGAGCCCAAACACAAGGGCTCCGGGTGGGATAGCAGACAATCGCACCCCCTCCTATCCACTGGCGTTTGGATCGCGACCCTGGGAGCTCACCAGGGTCGCGTCCGCCATCGTGCTGCCAAAAACCGGAAGTCCCTCACTATTGCCTTCCAATTCATGCAAGTCCTCCAGGAAGGACTTTTGGGGGAGGGGATCATGAAGTTCAACCCAACATCATGAGAGACATTGTGAAATGAACTAAAGATCTATGATATCCCCATAATATTGTGTTACAGCAATTGGTGGTAGCTGATAAATCTAGCACATTGCTTCACTGGTAATCATTAACTGGAAAAAAACAGTACATAGAAATAATAGGATCCAACTTCCTTTGCGCAGGTCAACAAAAGAGACTCCTCTTCTACAGATACCAAGGAGCTTGATGACAGTCAGATACCTCTAAATGTAACCTCTGTAACCCAAAGGTATAGAAAAAAGAAGGGAGCTGATGATGATCAGGGAAATCCAGAAAGAAAAACTGTTCATGAGGAAAATCAAGAACTCTGTCCAGAGAAAGAGGTAATCTTACATGTAGCTTTAAATTATAAATACTCCACAGCCCGTCAAAAGTATTTGATACTAGATGATGGGGAAAGTCCTTTGTACTATGTAAATTGATGGTTATGGCTCCGGTTGCAAAAACAGTAAAGACAATAAACAATTTACTATGTAAACCTAGCAATATCTAATGCCTAAGTGCTTTTGAACAAGCAGTTTCAGCAGTGATTTTCACAGGTTTGCATGAAAATCCTGAAAGTTCTTTTTGGGGGGTGTAGCAGGATTTTCTTGCTGATCATGTTTTTATGCAGAAATGAGCTCATATCAGGTTCATCTATTGGTCAAACTGATTGCATGAAGTTGTTTTTATCTTTGAAACCTAATTAAAACCATTACAGAAACATTAGATCTATTGCCTTTTAATAGAGATTAAGATTTAAGTTTGCCTTTCTAACCTTGCTTATAAAAAAGATAATGAGCACATATCCTGTTTTTTTTAGATGTACCTGTTTGATTATCTCATCAGTACTTATAAGCCAATCGTTTATCTTGATGATTATCACATGTTTAAATTAGGAAAGATTTAATGTATGATAAAATTGCTGTTTTTCTATATAAATGCATTGATGTGATAAGCAGATCACATTTCTCTGGATGGAAATCTCAGAAGAGATTAGGTGAGGTTTCTGTTTCTGTACGTAACTTGGTTCTATGGAGAAATTCCTAAAAACAGTTTAAGTTAACACTCTGAAATCTGGATTACTTTAAAATGTGGTTGAGAAATTGTAAGAGATTCGATGTTTTTGTCACTTGTTCTTGAGGTAGCTATAGGGCTAATCCTCACATGCTTGTATTTTCTAACATCTTGTTTAACAAAGAAAATTATTTCTTTTTTACAATAGAAGATAGAAACTCTCTGAAGGTAATAGCTGAAAGAACAGAACGACCATTGGATACTCACCGTGAAGGGTCCTTCTCCTCTGAGGCTTGGAGGACATCTTGTGGGTGATTCCTATCCATCACTTAGGGAGGCAGAACTAATTCAAAGCTTCCTATTTCCTGTGGTGGGAGTCACCCTAGGCTCAGTTCTGGTGCTCCGAAAGCAGTACTCTAAAAATTGACATTCTGAACGAAAAACAGACAAACCAGAATAACCTGCTAACTTTTTAGAAAAAGAACAACCAAAGCACTGTGAACAGGAAGAATTATCAGATAGAACGGTTCACTCTCTCTGTGAAAAAAACTGTTATAGAAAAAAGGGAAAACAATGTAAGAAGGAACAGTGAAAAAAACTGTTATAGAAAAAAAGGGAAAACAATGTAAGAAGGAACAGAGGATGACGACCCGGGAGGTCCAAGATGTCCTCCAAGCCTTAGAGGAGAAGGACCCTTCACGGTGAGTATCCAATGGTCGTTCTCCCTCTGAGGTGGAGGCCATCTTGTGGGACCTCCCAGAGCAGTGTCCCTAAATGTTGGGAGGGGGGGTCGTCATCACAGGAAAGAACAGATTGAAGCACTCTCCTGCCGAAAGCTGCATCCACAGAGTCGTATACGTTGATCTTATAATATCTAATGAAAGTGGACAGAGAGGACCACGTAGCGGCCTTGCAGACTTCCGCCACCGAAGCTCTGTTAACGAAAGCTGCATTTGTAGCTGTGCAGAGAATGCGCCGTGATCCCGTCTGGTGGGTTTTGGTTCAGACTCTTGTACACTTCCGCTATGCATGTTCTAAGTACCTTACTAATGGCCGCACTAGACATTTTCTTCCCTGTGTGAGGAGGAGATATATTCACAAACATGGCTTTGGTTCTCCTGAATGAAGCTGTTCTGAGAATGTAGCACTTGAGGGCCCTACTTATGTCTAAAGCGTGCCAAAGCTTCTCCTTAGGATGAGTAGGATTCGGGGCAAATGATGGCAGGCAGATTTCCTGCACTCTATGGAACTGTGTGTTGATTTTGGGACAGAAGGTAGGGTCTGTTCTCAGGACTACCTTATCTTTGTGAAAAAGACAAAGGTCCGACCGGATGGATAGCGCACTCAGTTCTGATATTCTCCTGGCGGAGGTTATGGCCACCAAAAAAAGAACATCCTTAGGAGCTGAAGAGAAATGTCCTTAATTGGTTTGAAGGGTGCTGTTGTGAGTGCTGTGTGGACCGTGTTGAGCTTCCAAGTTGGAAACCTGTGTTTTGTAGCAGGAAGTTTGGATGTTGAGAAACTGGAAAGCTGTTGAGAGGTGGAAGGACCGAGGTTGGGCAGCAGTCTGCCTCTTTAGAGTTGCTGCTCTTAGCCCCCTTGCCATTCCCTCTTGGAGAAAGTTCAGAGTACCTGCGAGTTTAGGGTATAAAGGATCTACTCTCTTCCTTCTGGCCCAGCGAATGAAGGCCTTCCATGTACAGTTATAGATTCTGGAGGTAGATGGTCGCCAGGAGGCCAGGATCATGTTGACAACCAAAGGATTATATCCCAGATCTAGTAGTTTTCTCCTCTCAATTTCCATGCGGTCAAACAGAACCACTCTGGTCTTGGATGCCAAAGTAGTCCCTGGATCAGCATGTACGGTGAAGTGGGAAGATGTAGAGGTGGAGACACCGCCATCTGCTGCAGGGATGTGAAGCACGGTCATCATGGCCAGTAGGGTGCCACCACTATTACGTACGCTCTCAGGATCCGAATCCGTCTTAGGAACTTCGGAAGGATTGGCAGTGGATGGAAGGCGTAAAGCAGACCTCAAGGCCATGGGGCCGTCAAGGTGTCCATGTCCTCCACTTGAGGGTGGTAGTATTGAGTGAAAAACCTGTCCAGCTGTGCGTTGGTTGGTGACGCGAAGAGATCCACTAGTGGTGTTCCCAGTGTTTCTGTTATGAGCTGAAAGACCTTCTCATTGAGGGACCATTCGCTCTCTTGTATCAACTGACGACTCAGCCAATCTGCCTGGACGTTTACCACTCCTTTTATGTGTTCCACCTTGATTGAAGAAAGATTGGATTCAGCCCACTTCAACAATCTCTTTGCTTCCCTGTGAAGAGCTAGTGACCTGGAACCTCCCCGCTTGTTCAGGTAGGCTTTTGCTGATATGTTGTCCGTCCTGATGAGAATATGCCGTCCCTGGATGAGGGAGGCAAATTGTTGCAACGGCAATCTAATGGCTTGCAGCTCTAACAGATTGATAGGGAGTTTCTGTTCCGCTGGGGACCACTTGCCTTGTGCCGTCAGATGTTGCAGGGTGGCTTCCCACCCCGACAGGCTGGCATCTGTGAAGATCTGGGTTCTGTCTGGAATCCAAAACATCTTGCCTTGAGTGAGATTGTTGAGATTTTTTTTCTTGCTTGTGTTCAACCTGAAGGAAGAAATGTATACAAAACAGAAAAGCAAGGTGGGGATGTAAGTGAAATGTTCCTTTTACAAGTTTCTGATCAGTACCTTTGAATTACAGGTTTTTTCTGAGCTGAAAGAAAGAGAAGAGCCACAGGATGCTGAATCTGAAAGGACAGTGAAGATGAACCAACCTGAGTATTTGACAAGCAGTGGGATCACAAAGAATATGGCCACGCCAAGTCAATGTAAAGAGAGAATTTCGACTAAATGTGGAAGAGCTGAAAGTAAGCCCTGCTCATAAGGTGGAATACTGGTTTATGATGGTATGGTAGTACAGTGGTGGGTATCTTGTTTGGCCTTCAGATTTTTGTTGGAAAACTTTCATAAATTCAAATTTATTTTAAAAAGCTGATTCTCATTCAAATAAAAGTTTGGAGGCAGCCAAAAAAAAGACCTTTGATTACTGTGATGTAAGTGCACTATATTATTCTCAAATGATTTTCAAGGAGAGCTGGCAAGAGAGAGCGGGCCTCTTGTATTTGAGCAATAATGGATTGATGATATAATTCTTCAATGACAAACTGTTTAGAACAGGATCTCTGTTGTATTATTTTATTTCTTTATTAATGTCTTTCCTTTCCACAAAATAGTTGCAACAACTCAGTACAAAGCTATAGAGGCATAAGAGTAATTGTATGGAATCATTGATGGAGAGGAGAAAACCTGGATGTGGCCAGTTTACCTTGAAAAATGTGAAAATTATAAGAATGGTTTGAGCTGTTTGCTAGCATTCTAAAAAGCTTTGTCCTTGGTTTTGTGCAATCAGGAAAGACTCTTGTGGACCCTCTTTCTGGAAAGAAACCTCAGTACACAACTAGTGTATCAAAATCTGGGAGAACAGGATTTGCTTCTACCACGCCAAGTAAGTAGACAAAAATCTTAAGTCATCAGGGTCCCTGTACTGTAGATTTTGAAAGGGAAGTCATGTTCTTGATTCTCAGTGTGCCATCTGTTGCTTTTACAGATCATGCTAATGGTTTGTTTTTTTGCTTCAGTTGCTTTGAGTTTAGAAAGCTTTCTCACATATTTATCACAGGAAGAATTTTGAAATAAATCTTGTCCTTCTGTAATCTGTTACAAGTAACATTTAATATTTACTGTCCCAATACTGAAATCCAATTACTTGAACTATTCAGTGCCCCATCAGGCACCTATGTACCTTTTCTGTTTCTTGATTTGTATATTAGTTTGAGCTAAGGGAATTCTGCACATAGCACAGCTTGACAGCCCCATGTGGTGTGGTGGTGGATGGATCTACAGCAGGGAATCCTCCAATTATACAAATGTCATTACATGAGCAGAACACTGGAACCACCCATTGTCCAAATCAAAAGCACAGTAAATACCAAGGCCAAAATAGGAGAAAACAGACACCTATTGAAAAAAGAAAGATAAAATTGCTTTCATACGGTATTTGGCTTTCATTATGATCCTAACTAGCTGCCTGAGGAAGCTGAAGACAGCATAAATTTGTCACATTGCAACAGTTTAAGAGAACTGCTATCAATGATCAGATGTTTATTGTGTCTCCACAGTACTTAATTTGACAAGCCTTTATTGGCATATGTATGAAGATCAGATTAAATACAGATCGGAAAATACAAATCCGTATAGGGTAAAATTGGAGCTATGACACAGAAAAACAGCATAAAAGCAGAGAAACCTAGTGGTTAGTATTATTTATCAGAATGTATAGCCATAGCACTAAGAAGAAACCTTGCTACTATTTCAGTTATTTCCGTATCTGGATTATCAAGCAAAAAAAGAACCTTAAAATTGTTAGGAATCTCTAAGAATTGAGCTAATATAGGGTACAGAAGATCCTGACGGGGTGCCAAATAAAAGGGACGCGTTTCAACACAGTCCTTCATACGAGGACAGCACCTGCTAAAATAGGGGAATTGGCTTTTCACCTCAGCTACTTTTATCCTATGGATCTGAACAAGCCAAAGGGCTAATTAAACAAAGAGAACGACAATCTGATACACTAAGGTTTCAAGACTTGGGGTGTTGCTAAATATCAAAAGCACCATTAAGCAGGCTACATATTTGACTTCAGTGGAGGAAAAGAACTCTAGAAGGGCATTTGCCCTAGTCAGATGTTCTGCCCTTTCATCTGTGGTTATTCAAGGCAGGTACAATAAAAACCCCTTCCCTGAAAGGCTATGAACATGCACTTCATGCGAAGTTAAATTGGTAGAGTATATGTTTTTCAGTTGCCCATTCTACAGAGAAAGAGAAGTTCAAGGAATGTCCGTGGAACATGTGCTTCACCGAACATCGCTTCCCACAGGCCAAAATTCAACATGGATTTTGCTCTGTGCACCACCAGTTCATGTCTGCTCTGTGCACCACCAGTTCATGTCCACCTGTATAAATTTATGGACACTAATGATTCTTTATTCCTAAAATTAAAAAGGAAACGGGAACTTGTTCTTTTGGTGAAGAAAGCTAGTGTGGTTATTTGGACTTGTGAGACCATTTTATATGATAGTAGTGGCAACATTTTTCTGTTATGTATTTGAAGAAAATCAAATCTACAGCTGGAGAAAAAAGGTAATTATTGCTAAATAAACACTACGGAATAGAAACATACTGGTTTTACGATAACTGGAACCCCAGTGCATATTTCAACAGCAATAGAACTTTCACAGTCCAGCCCTAAGCAAAATTAAACCGCTTTAAGAAGGGATGTCAAACTCATTTAATCTGGC